GAGCAGAGCAGCACACCCAGCCACCTGGGGCACCCTGGGGCTGCACATGGGACAGAGGGACCCCGTGCAGCCTCCGCCGTTGGGGGGTTCACCATGTGGGGGGAGTGCAAAGCCTGGCCCTTCCTGGGGACACGTCGGTGAGATAAGAGCCCCAGGGCACAGGGTGGGAAGTTGCTTGTGGCCCGCAGATCTTGGAGGGCTGCCTGGAGGAGGTGCTGGTGGGCTGGCCTGGTGGGTGGGATTCCTACCCGGGGGGAGGCCCCGCTTGGCAAAGGCAAGTAGGAGAGAAGGAGGGGTGAGACGGCTGGGCAGGGCCTCCCTGCCTTATGTGGACACAGCAAAGCCCAGGGACATTCTTTTTTATTTTTGGTGCTGGGGATGGAACCCAGGGCCTTATGCATGTGAGGCAAGCACTCTGCCAACTGAGCTATGTCCCCAGTCCCCAGGGACAGTCCTAAGGTGGTTTCCTTCCCAGGGATTAACCAGACTTATCTCTCCTCCATTCCCCAGGCCATGAAACGGACTCCAAGGGACCTTCCAGGTGGGATGCCCTGGAGTCTGCGCTGGGAGCAGGGCCTCGGGAGACCGTTACCATGCTGTGAGGTCTCTAGGATCTGGAGGTGCCGTTGGGGCAACTGTGGGGGGCTGCCAAGAGGAGGCCGAGGCATCGAGGCAGGGCTGTGAGGAGGGGCAGCCGAGAGGGCGCCCTGGAGACGGGGAGGGCGGGCGGGGCGAAGGCAGGGYGCAGGTCTGCCAGCAGCAGAGCGGGAGAGCGGGATCCGGATGGAAAGGTGGCCGTGGTGACTCAGTCCCCACTAGCTCTGGCTGAGCTCTGCCACCCTGCTGTCCCCACCCCAAGGTTGCTGTCTTCAGGGAGTCCCTGGGCGTGAGACCAGCTGGAGGGGATCCATGSCCCCCAGCTTAGGGCAGACTGGCCGCACCTGCAGGATTCGAGGCAGGAAGGGTCCCTGCTCCCACTCGGGGTCTCTACAGGCTTGGGAGCAAGGCCGCCTGGGGGTGGGGTGGAGTCAGTGGTGCTGTCAGTCCCAGGCTGGGGTCAGGTGGCTCATCACCCTCACGGGGCTAGACAGTCGAGGCAGGAGCGCCAGGGTGGGCCGTGCTTTCCCAGGTGGTGCCAGCCTCAGTGAGGCTCCAGCAGGGGCAGGGGTTGCCCAGGGCCCTGAGCATCCGGGTGAGGATCCAGCCACCTGCACCCGTGGCTCTGCCCTGTGAGGTGGGGGTGGGGGGCTTGGGTCCGTGGTTCTCATGTGGTTTCCACCTCTCATCCCCAAATATGGCCYCCTCCCAGAGCTGAAGCACTCCCCCATGACTCCAGGTCAGGCTTGGCTCTCAGGTCAGAAGCCTTTTAAGGGTCATTGTTGCCCTGGCTGTCACTGTCACTCGGAGCCCATATTCAACCAGCAAGCCTGGGCGCCACCCTGGATCCAACTCCCCCTGGCCATCCTCGGCCGCCCCTCCACCCTCTGTGGGCCACGCTAGGTCCCAGCTCCACGGTCCTTCCCAGAACAAAGCTGTCCCTTCTCCAAAGCCTCAGCGCCTCCCGTCACCCTCAGGATGGAGCCCAGCTTCCTGGGACTGTGACCCTCAGCTCACCTCCCACCCACCCCCTTTTCTTAGCTGTAGGTGGACACAGTGTCTTTCCTTTGCTTATTCATTTTTACGTGGAGCTGAGGACGGAGCCCAGGCCTCACGGTGCTAGGCGCCCCCACCGCCCCCAGCCCCSGCCGGGCCCCACTTGGTTCCTGATTCCCTGACACCCTCTTCCACTCCCCCTCCCACTTCCTGTCTCTCCTTCAGATCCCAGCCTGGACCCCCCACTTCCTTCCTTCAACCTCCACCCTCGTCTGTGTCCCCAGAGGTCACTGACTTCCCCTGTGCGGTGATGGCTGGCTTCCCCGGGTCTCCGCAGAGACTGGGACCCTGGAAACAAGAACCTCCATCCGCTGGGCTCCAACTCGTTCCTCCAGCGCTGAGCACCTGGTGGGGCTCCATAAGGTATGCTCAGGGAAAAGAGGAAGAGGCCGGTGGTTGGATGGGTGGGTGGGTGAATGAGTGATGGGGGTGTAAAAGAGTGGACGGACTCGTGGATGAATAGTGGACGGATGGATGAGGGAAAGGTGGTGTGTGCATGGATGTGGGTAGATGGAGGGGTGGGTGGAGGGGTGGGTGGGTGGGGTGGGTGGAGTATGGGTGGAGGGGCTGATGGCTGGTGATGGAGGGAAGATGCATGTGTAGATGTGTGGAAGATGGATGATCCTGCACATATTTAGTTCTCTCTCTCTCTCTCTCTCTCTCTCTCTCTCTCTCTCTCTCTCTCTATTTCTTTTTTTTTCCCTTTGATTCTAGGGTTGAACCCAGAGGGGCTTAACCACTGAGCCACATCCCCAGTCCTTTCTATTTTTTGAGACAAGGTCTTGCTGAGTTGCTTAAGGCCCTGCTGAGCTGCCCAGGCTGGCTGCCTTGGACTTGCGGTCCTCCTGCCTCAGCCTCCCAGGTCCCTGGGATCACAGACGTGCTCCAGTCTCCAGGGGCGGCTGTGCTCCCAGAGCCTCCTCATCCCAGAAGGGCCTCCTGCCGCAGCCACACCCCATCTGCTGGCTCTTCCTGTCTCCCCCCGGGACCCTCCCCTCCTGCTGACCCCAGGGTCCTCCTCTCTGGTGCAGACCTCTCCTTGACCCCACACTCCCCCACACCCTCCTCCTACTTCTCCACGGCGCGGCCTGCACTTCTCCCTCCYGTTTCCTCTCTGCCCACTTGTGAGTCCTCAGTGTCACGGCTTCTGCTCCTGCTGCTCAGGGAAGCCACCCTCTCTGGGCCTCTCAATCCCCCGTGGCCACTCTCACGAAGGACCGTGTGGGGCAGTGGTTACAGCAGATGCCCTGGAAGGCTCTTCGACTCGTTCCTGGTCGTGTAGCCAAGAACCCTCTCCCGGGCCCCGTTGCCTGTCTGTGAAATGGGCACCATGACGGACACTCCCTCGTGGCATAGCTGGGGGAATTCACTGAGGTCACCTGGAAAGTTCCTCGTCTCCAGCCTGGTTCTGTCAATGTCCTCGTCATCCCTGGGACCCTGTCCCTTCTCGACACTCCTCTTTGCTTGGACCTGATTGTTCCCGGGCATCTCTGGGGCTCGGCTTCTCATGAACGTGCCTGAGCTGGGCCGGGTCCTGAGCAGTGGCGTACTGTCCTTGTGACAGTCTTACAGATGAGGACACTGGTGACCAACCAGAATGGTTTGAAAACGAGTCCCAGGGCACAGCTGGGAAGGGGACAAGCAAGGTCAAGGTTCTGTGCTAGACTTTGATCTCGCCTCAAGCAGCCCCCTCTGGATGGACACTTCCTTAATCTCTGGCCCCAGCTCTAGCCATTGGCCAGCCGGACACACCCTGGTAAGGGCCGCTCCCCTGGCCCCTGCCCAGGCTCCCAGCCCTGCAGCTCTGGCTCCTGGACCAGGACAGGAGGGTGGAAACCTGCCCCCTCCTGGTTCACCAGCCCCAGGAGCAAGCTCCCTGGGGAATCAGCTGCCCTTCTCTTGAGGGACATCAGCCCCGCCCGCACCCAGCACCCACTCTGGAGTTTTGCCCTGACTCATTCTCACCTCCAGCCCCCACGTGGCCTCAGAGACCCTCTGCCTGYTCACCTCCTCCTCACCCCAGCAGCTCCACCCCCTCCCTCCCCACCCGTCTCTACAACTGACGGGTCTCCTCCTCTCTGGTCACTCCTGGCGCCCCCCACCTGGCAGGCTCAGACCTGGGGGGTCTTTCATCAGAGCCGGTTTGACCATGGAATGCCCTCCTCAAGAACCATCAATGGCTCCCTGCTCTTTTCCCCGTCCAGCTGAGACTCTTCAGGCCAATCTCACGCAGTGCCCTGGGTCTGGCCCATCGTCCCTCTGCACCCTCGTCTCACTGCCCCCCATTTGGCCTCTGTGAGCGAGAGTGTGTCCCTCTCTATGACTTAATTCGCCACTCCTCACACCCCTGGCCTCTTCTTTTCTGGATCATCGCCCGCTCCCTGAGCCAAAGTCTCTCCACATCCCATCTGTGACACCCCGTGACACTGCCTGGTTGGGGGCGGCCTGGTCTTGAACCTGGCTCTGTCTCATCAACAGGTGGTGAGTCTTGGTTTCCACTGCTGCAGAATGAGCATTTTGTCCTTCCACTGTAGGTWCCTTGGGAGGCTCTGTTGGCCTCCCGGCCTCTGAGCTGTGTCTGGCATGTGGCCCTGTGTCTGRTGACAAATGTCATCTCTATGCCATGACTCCCCAGGTTCTCTCCAAGCCCCAGACTAGTGTCACCAGCTGCCCACTCACGGTGCCAAATAGGCCTCTCCAAGCACCGCGTCCATCAGTGAGATCCCTGGCCCCCACGTCTCTCCACCCCCGTCCCCAGCCAGCCTCTTCCTTCCGGTTACTGGGGCCAGAAACCTGGGTGGCTCCAGATGCCTCTTCCTCTCACCGCCACTTCCCATCTGCCGGGGAGCTCCTGGAACAGCTTTCTAGATATACCCAGAAGCACCGCCTCTCCCCGGGTTCCTGCACCACCCTGCAGCCTCCCTCAGCCTCCCTCAGCCTCCCTCAGCCTCCTCAGCCTCCCTGCAGCCTCCCTCAGACTCCCTCAGCCTCCCTGAAGCCTCCCTGCAGCCTCCCTCAGACTCCCTCAGCCTCCCTGAAGCCTCCCTGCAGCCTCCCTACAGTCTCCCTGCCTCCACGCTCATCCTGCAGTCTGTCCTCAGCAGCAGGCAGAGTTGCTGTGGCTCCTGAACTCGGAGTGTCCCCGTGGCCCTGCATTCATTCAGGGGACAAGCCTGTACCCTCCCTAGCGTCCTCCTAGTGTCCCCCGCTCCCTCCCCACACTGGCCTCCTCCCTGGCCTCACAGGACGTTGGCATGCACTGCCCTCTCCGTCTAGAACCTTCTCCCCTGGCTCCTGCTCAGCTTCCTCCAGAGCCCCATTCAGACCTTTGTTTCAATGTCACTTACTGCCAGGTGGGTGTCACCGCCTGCCTCTCAGGTCTGCGGCTTGTGGCCTGTCTCCCACCTGTACCTCACCCTGTGGCCGCTGGGACCTAAGTCCCAAGGGACAGAGGGAAGCACGTCCCCAGGCCCACGGCAGGTCCTCAGTACTGGCATGTGATCTGAATGAAGGGTGGCTGGCTGGCGCTGTTCCCGGGCCTTCTCTCCAAGTCCCTCTCACACTAGTGGACGTGTCTCCTTGTCCCTCTGGTGCCTGGGCCCCAGGACTCTGGGCTCTCCTCGGGCACCACAAATCGATCCCTTTATTCACAGCTGGGCCCGGCTCTCTTTCCAAGGGACCCTTGCTCCAATTCTTTCAGAGGCAGGTCATTGGTTTCCTGATGGCCCTGGGACAGCTCAAGGTCACCACCGCAGCTGCCCCCCCCTCGGTGACAGAGGCCTTTGAGAAGCCAGAAGCCAGCTGTTCCTGGCCTGGCCGCCTGCCTCCTGGTGGCAGGGGCTTCCTCCTGCCGCTCTGTGCTCCCAAGAGACACTCGTTCAGCACCAGGGTCAGCGCCAGAAGCCCTTGGCCTGGGAAGGAGGACCACGGACCCCAGGAGGCCACTGCAGCTGGCCTCTGTAAGGCCCTGGGGGTCGTCCTGTCCAGCCCCTCACGCCAGGAAGCCAGCAGGGAGAGGGGTCGCCCCTCATCAGTGCCCGGAGACGGGACTCCTGGGTGGTCCCTGCTGGGTCGGCTCACCCCAGTGGGGCTGGGGCCAGGAAGCAAGAGCCCAGAAAGCCCTTTCTGGAGAGAAGCTGGTCCCAGAGCCGCTGGATCCAGGCCAGAACGGGCCCTGGCCCTCCTTCCACATGGCCGGTCCCCAGCCCGGCCGATGCCAGGGGCCCTGTGGCCCCTCCTGGGCGCAGCCAGTGCCCTCAACCCCTGGCGGCTGCTGCTGCTATTTTTAAATGAAACTAACACTATCTGATCCAGCTCCAGGAATAGCGTGGCGATTCTGTTGGAGACACACTGAGTCTACAGGTTTACCCCCGCAGCTGGCGCAGGGTGACGTGCTCCTTCTGTCCTCTCTGYGGGGCTCATTAAAGACATGCTTCCAGCAGTTGGTGACGGGTGAATGAGGAGAAGGGACCCGGGTCTCACCCCAGCAAAGGCCGGGGAGGGTCACTGCAGTGCGGTCACTTCGGGGGGTGATCTCGGGAGGGAGTGGGAGTCAGAAGTAAAACTGACCAAAGGGACTGGGGTCTCGGTGAACCCCAGGGCCAAGAGCCACCCAAGAGCCCCTCAGGTTGACAGATGCACGACTCATGTCCCCGGGGGTTCCTGAGTCCTCCGTGGTCTAGGAGGGGAAGGGGAGCCAGGATTTGGCAGCCACCAGCCCACCCACTGCTGCATACTTTACTAATTAATGTGCGTGTCCCTAAACACCGTGCGTTTGTTTGGATGTCTGGAGAGGACGGGTTACAGGAGGTCCCTCGAATGCCAAAATCCACSGAAGCTCAAGTCCCTTCTATAAAATGATGTAGGTGGTATTTACATAGGATCTGTGAAGTCCTCGAAGTCACCTTAGATTACACGTAACACTAAGCACAAGGTAAATGCGGTCAATAGCTGTTCGACTCTTATTGTTTAGGGAATAATGATGAGAAAAATGTTCATTTTTCATGGAGAACAGAATAACCTCTGTTCAGTGCAGATCAGTTTTCTTCTGAATATCAGTTGGTTGATTCTGTGGATGCAAAACGCTCCGATGTAGAGGCTACTGGTACTGTATGGCTTATGCACATTTTAAGCTGTATTTTTTACAATATATATATATATATATATATATATATATATATATATTTTAGTTGTAGGTGGACACAATATCTTTATTTTATTTATTTTCATGTGGTGCCAGGGATCAAACTCAGGACCTCACACATGCTAGGCAAGCACTCTACCACTGAGCCACAACCCCAGCCCACACATTTTAAGCTTTATATTAACACCATCACATTGTACCTGTTCTTTTGGAAACTTGCAGCATTGTGAGTTATTTGTGTTGATAATCGCCAGTGTGTTTCCTTCTTTGCATCACAGTGTGGTAGTTCATATACTAACTAAACCACAAATAACTAAAAAATACTGAGATCTCTGCCATCAAAGCACCTGCTGCTTATACATTTACTAGCTGTGTGACTTTGAGTAAGTTCTTTAACCTCTCTGTGCCCTTGTACTCCCATCTTGCCAATGGAACCCTTATGAATATGAGCTTTTCTTAGGATATGGCAGGAGTTGTACTATAAAATTCACTCAAAGGCTCACAGCAGGGCTGAGGTGTAGCTTGCTGGTAGAGTGCTTGCTTACCACGTGCAAGGTTCTGGGTTCAATCCCCAGCACCATACAAAACAAAAGAACAGCTGGGTGTGGTGGCACATGCCTGTAATCACAGGAACCGGGGAGGCTGAAGCAGGAGGATCGCATTTGAGGCCAGCCTCAGCAACTTAGTGAGAAGGCTCACTAAGCAATTTAGTGAAACCCAGATTCAAAAACTTAGAAAAGGGGGCAGGGGCTGGGGATATGGCTCATGGTAAAGCACCCCTGGGTAAAATCTATGGTACCAAAAAAGAAAAGAAAAAACAGAATAACAGTAACAGAAGCAAAGGCTCACAGGGATGTGATGGGGACAGTGACCCTCACCAGAAGGCCAAAGTCTCATTCTCATTGATGCCTCTGGCAATAGGTGGCTAGCTCCTGCCCCCACCCTCCCTGGCCACCACGCCCAGGAAGAGGACCCTGGGCCATCTGGATGACACCTCTGTCCGATGGTAATCATGACAACGTGTGAGCACCTGGAAACAGGTCCCGAGGCGCAGGCGCACCGTGGGTGGACCAGGGACAGGGGTGGGCAGGAGCCCCGGGCAGAGGCGGCCTAGTCGAGCTCGGCGAGACTCCCCTCAGCTGCGCCCTCCTGTGGGGAGATTGGGAACAGCAGGGCCTTGTTCCAGTCTCAGGGGGCCTGTCCTGACCAGGATGTGATGGTGGCTGAAGGGTCAGAGGGGGCAGGAGGGCCTTGGACCCCTCTTCACTGGAGACCACCTTCCATCTGGCACCTGCCTTGGAGGCAGTCTGTCAAATCCCCGAGTATGCGGGGACCTGCCTCTCCCCTGACCCACAGGAGGGAGGTGGCTCTGGCCCCTCGCCCTTCACTCCTTCCAGGACCTGTGGTGGCCGCTGGGCAGACCGAAACACAGGTGAGGCTGCCTGTCCCCAGGAACCTTCCAGAAACACCGCGGAGCCATCGGGCATGGCGGGCCATGTGCGGACTGTCTCTGCACAGGGGCAGCAAGTCCCCATAGCTGGGAACCCGAGAAGTCAGGGAAGGTGACATCCAAGCTGAGACCAGAAGAGGGTAGGAGGTGGCCAGGGGGACAGTGACTGTGGGTGAATTATCCAGGCGGAGAGAAGATGATACAGCAGAATGTGTGGCCACAGGACTGGGGGAGGGGTGGGAGAGAAGGGGGAGGGGGGCAGAGGGGGGAGGGGGCAGAGGGAGGGGCAGGTGATGGGGGTGGGCAGGGGATGGGGGTCAGCTGGCCAGTGCAAATCCTCTGGAGGCCCAGACACAGAAGGCCCTTGGTGGCTCCCAGAACAGTGCCTGATGGCCCAAGACCTGTGCCCACGGGCCCACAGTGCTCTGGTTTGTTTTCTGGGCTCCTGAGACACTCAAAAGAATGGCTGACCAGGTTTCCTGGCAAAGAGGTGCTGCCCCACACCTCCGGTTTTAGTTTTCTTTTCCCTGTTTATTTACTTATTGCAGTACCAGGGGCTGAGCCCAGGGGCACTCTCTACCATTAAGTTACATCCCCAGCCCTTTTAAATTTATTTTGAGATCAGATCTCACTAAATCCCTGAGGCTGGCCTCGAACTTGAAATCCTCCCTTCTCAGTCTCCCCGGTCGCTGGGATTACAGGTGTGCACCACCACGCCCAGCTCCCTGGTTACGTCTTCATCTCATGAAGCAGACCCAGGCCACTAGAGCCCTGAGCACCAATGTATTTCGGAAAAACCCCAAACCCTTCTTTTCAGTTGACTTCACTGAGAGTTTCAGGTGAACCCAGAGCCAGCCAGTAGCCTCAGTGGATGGACATCAACCTCAGGTGCAAAGAGGGTGAACTAAGGGGAGCAAGCTGAAGGGTGGAGAGGGCATCTGCCTCAGTGAAGACGTCATCCCCAGGCCTTTTACTAGCAGCATGAAGTGACTGACAAGTGGAGCCAGCTTAGCCGAAGGATGGCGTACTTTTTCTTCCTGATAGTGGTGTCTGTCAGGACAGGCTGAGTTCTGCTGCAGTAACAAGTAACCTCCAACACTCCCTGGCTTAAAACTGCAGAAGCCTATTTCTTCCTCACCCTACATGTCCACATAGATCAGCTCTGGCTGGAGCTCCGAGTCACCTCTAACCTGGGACCCAGTCATTTTCTGGAGACCGGCCAAGAGCTGTGCCCAAGGTGCTAGTGGCTCTCATGAGTCTGCTCCCAGCAATTAGAAGTCACACACTGGTTCCATTCCCAGGTTCCTAACCAGAACTTGTCACTTGGCCCCACCAACTTCAAGGGGGTCAGGAAGAGTGGCTGGGTCATTTGCCCAGGGGCAGTGAGCCAGAAATACACCAGAGACTGCCCATCCCAGACTCCAAGGACTAGAAAACTTATTAACTTCCTTTTTTGTTCCAAGTCCTCTTGTTAGTCTGGTTTTATTTAAGCTGTGATTCATGAGTTTTGACCTTGCCAAGTTCAAATGCAATTGAGAGGAGAAAAGTTGTATCAACTTGACCAGTAGGTATTAGTTCGGGCACATCACAAGTTACTCTTATCTGCTTAAGGATTTCATAACATTCCTTCATTGACTTTATTGAAAACCAGGAGGATTTAGCTTCTTTTTTGATATCCTGTGATTCTACACCCTTGCTTGGGCACTCAGCAACAAACTCAGATAGAAATAAGATGTTTCAAGCCTGGTAGGTGGTGTATGCTGGTAATCCCAGCCACTCAGGAGGCTGAGGTAGGAGGATGGCCTAGGAGTTCAAGAATAGTCCAGGCAACACAGTGATACCCCATCTCAAAAGAAGAAAAGAAAAAAAGGAAATAGAATGTCTCAAGTCCTTTTGAAACATCTATTGCATAATCATAGATTGTATATTCTGAGAGCCCCAATAGGCACGGAATTTTTCTT